ACGGGAAAGTAACGGTAATCTAATTACCGTTTTTGCAATAGTAATCCCTTACTTTAGTAATTACTTGAAAAAGTAATCGGATTACAGTAACGCGTTACAAGTAATGCCTTGCCAGTCACAAATCAATAACTGTGAAGTTTCACAGTCAGATCCACCGCACTCATCACATCTGGTTTCTATATATCAAGATGGCTGAGATGAAAATAATCAAACTGTGGCTTCGTAACAGGACTTTACAAACCAGTGGGTAATGCAATAGTACACATCCATCTTTTCTACTGTGTATGATACTAACAGTTAGAAAAATGCAGTGTGAAGGCCATATGAAGTACTTGCTGCAATTCTTCTAATCTTGCTCAGCACCGTGTGAAACAACACATGTCAAATGTTTCAACATTCAACACTGCCGACTTCACATTCTTGCATTCATTTTTTAATTAAATGTTGAATTAATTTGAATTAAATGTAACTTGAACTCAAAATTTAAATATGACAGAGGTGAAAAAGCCTGCTATGTGGAATTTATCAAGTAGAGACTTTCAGTGACAGAAATGGCCACGAGCAAGACACTAAAATGTGAGCAACATGACTGGTTTTAAGGTCTCGAGCTGCCCCTGGTTGGCATTTCAATTCTCATTCTCCTACGCAACCTGAATTTACCAACCACTTTTGCCTCTCTCTCTCAATGCTCAGCTGCACTATCTCAGGGGAATCTAAGAGAGAACCACAGCGAGTAAATTGAGTGAGGCTTTGTCTTGCAACCCACGTCACTACTCCCTATGAAAATTGCTCGATCCCCTTCTGGCAGCTGTCACCTTCCCTTTAATCACTTTCTTCCCCTCTACGCAAGAAACTGTATTAATATTATAAGGCCATTAAGGTGGGCCAAACCTGTTATTGGTATGCATTTGATACTCAACCAGGGGTATTGTTTTTCAGAAGACCGTGACAAGGCACAGCAATGCTAGTAAGCTCTATAACCTTGTAAGTCTCTCACAGCCCTGTCAGTCGTGAGATCAAAAGCACTCAGAGGACTTTCAGTCCAAACTCCACCTTCACTTCTCCAACACTCCCATCTTTCCAGCAGAAGATATTAACATTATCCTCACAGCACACTGCACCACCACTACCTAAAATCTAAAATGGCTAAAAAAGCACGCCGACAAGTACAGCATCCATCTCAAATAGCTGGGGATTTTAGTGATGGGAAAATTCATACAGAGATCCACTTTTGATGGAAAGGACTTACTGTCACCTCTGCTGACAGCAGGCAACGTTTCAGCAGCAACTCATTAAAGTGACTCAGAGAAGAAGTCAAACTGGATGTGGTCACATTTGTTGTTCAGCCTTTTCATCTCAGCTGTGACTCCAATTCTGCAACTGTTCAGCCTGCACATCGTGCTGCAGTGATTCATTTAAGGCGAGGAGGCGAGATCCACCAGGGCGTCTCCAGCTCTGTCTGTATTTAGTATGTTTACTTGGTTCGAGGTCACATTCGAATGGCGGAGGTAACAGCTCATGCAACACCTGCCATTCCGAACCTCAGGTCATGTTTGCAGTTGTTAGCTCTGATTTGTGTAACGAGAGTGCCACAGCAAATATAATCATTGCCACAAAGCTAAAAAGGCCCACCTTTGTGTGTGTATGTGTGTATGTGTGTACGCCCGTGTAGAACGGTCACATTAAAGCACTACCTCACAGAATATGACTGTTTATTTCTGCACCTGTCAGAGAGACAGCACAAGCTACAATCAACAATTTCCACATCTCATCTCGCACCATAAAAACAAATAAAACCACGCGGCCTTTATGAGCACTCTGCGCGCATAAAGAGATGAGAAGTATAGCAGGAATGTGTCCAAAACTTCAACTAAGTATAAAGCCTGTTTCAAACTAACTTGACATTAGTGTTGATGAACATCACCGCTCTACTGCAATGACCCAGCAGTTTTTCAGCAGTGGAAAAGTTCAGTGTCTAAGGCCACAGGCAGCCCATCAGGTCAGGAGCCTGACCGGGAGAATTCTTGTCATTTTTTCCAACATTTGTAAGCTTTCGCAGCATGACTTCGCTCCCCAGGGGTCAGTAGCACTACTGTGCTCTTCGCCCACAATCTTTGCTCACCACCAATCCTAATTGTGACAATTGAAGGCCCAAAAGTTCTTCTTCTTCTCCCAAATAAAATTCAAATTGAGTTTTTGACACACTGAAGGAGAGTCATCCATCACAGTCACACAAGTTCAAGTAGTCAGATGCAAAGGGATATGCATGGTATTTTCCAATTATGCATAATGTAATAATAATTTAGATGAAACCTTAGCAAAAAAGTCAGAAAGGAGATCACTGTGAAAAGAAAGCAAAATAACAGATGTAGAGAAAAACAAAGCGATGTCACCAGGCTTAATAACAAACATTTCTAAACAGTTCTGCTCTAGATAACCACGTTATGAAACCAATATGCTAATAATTGAGTTTGGATCAATTGTATCCAGCTGTACCAAGCTGTTTGTTACAAGGGACTCCAAATCTTTTCAGTGAAGCTCATTTATCCCCGATCACTATCAAGAGGAAGTCTGTGTTTGTGGTTATAACGAGGAAAGGATGGAGGGCAGGAGTGAGGCCACGAAAGGACGAAAGCAGAGGTGGATCAGAAGTTAAGCGCTTTCGATTCTCTGCTTCATCGCTTCTCAGATGCACCATTTCATCAAATCTTAATTTAACTGCAATACAAATAATTACTATGCCATTACCAGCTGTTTTCTTAAAACCAACCATTTATTTCCACAAAATGAGGCATTAACCCGCTCTGTCACAAACGCATTATACTGGGCCTGCGTTCCAGCTCACTTTCTTTTTACTTCCATAAACACTGCGACTGATGTTACAAAGAATATACTGCACACATACTACAGAAAGTACATGCATTACAAGCAGTATGCAAACAAACAGGGCGTACTGCGTGAATATAACAGTGAGATAAACTGTTGCTCACACATTTGTCACGTCTGTAGAGCCAAAAAGGCAAAACAAAAATTTAAAAAAAAAAAACGTTATTAAAATTATTTTAATTGGAAGCAGCTTGGCTGTGAATATGTGTGAGGCTTTTTTCAGAGCATAGAAAATAAAAACTCTGTTAAAGTTACCAGAAAAAAAAACATTCTGGTTTTCAGGCTGCAAAATGAATTCTGATGCTGTACAAATCTTGACATACTGGGAGAACTGGTACTGTCCACACTAAGAGTATTCAATTGGAAATACTGCCATCTGATGGCATCAGCTTAAAACTACAACACTCATTTTGAGTTCTTAGATGAGGTGATGAATGAAAGCATTAGATGGCTCCAGGTGGTTCTAATTCACAGACACAAAGCCGATCCCGTTCAGGTTCAGACGTTTATAGCTTTGTTACTGAAGGTCTGCATGAGCAACCGCGAGCCAAGTCTATGTAATCTTTGCTGTCCAAAAGACTGCATGACAAGAAAGAGATTCACCAGTCATCTCAATTTCAAGAGGAAGCTGCTACCAATTGTGGAGCACGAAACATGTAAGTTTAAACTGACAGAGAAATTACAGCGTTCACATTTCCCCTCCAGTCTAAATTATATTATACTTCAGTGCCAATGACAGTATACATCATGCTACAAGACTCATCTGGCAGGGAGTTACAAAGAGTTTGAGATATGGAATCTATCACAAAGAAAGTGAGACTTCTTTTTTTTCAGACATGTGGCACTGAACTCTGTTGCCAATGGGAACTGTTTTGAAATATCCACCATGTCCCATCTTTAAAGACATAAAAAAAAAATTGATCAAATGCACGCGATTCTGTTCAGATCATCAACAGACTTGTTTGTCTTGAAAAAAAACAGCTCATGAATCACTTGGAAGAGAGATTTTCATTAATAATGTCTGCAATAGTTATATAGTACTGGATCATATGAGTTCATATTATTGCTGCTTTTCTCACATTCATATCCGCTGAACTCATTTTACCAAACACAGAAAGCTATTCATTACCTCCGGCAAGAAGGATATACTTTTAGTAGTGTGTGTGCATGTGTGTGTGTGCATGTGTGTGTGTGCATGTCATTAATCTGTTTGTAAACATGATAGCTCAAAAAGTTTGGCATGACATCTGATCAAATTTTGCAGGGGTGTAGAGTGGGGTCAAAAATCCATCAAAATTAGATTTTTTTTTAAAAATTATAAACTTCTTAAGTGTGTATAAAAACAAGAAATTTAAACAATTTCGATTCGACTAAAGGTGAATACTGCCCACAGAGTGCCCTGCCTCGGCAGAGATTTGCGTTCTCAGAGAGCTTCTTGTTTATTATGGCTTTACTTTTAGAGCGTACCTGTAATACAGAAGGGCTGATCTCCTGTCCAGGTCCCATCACTCAGACAGGTGCGCTCTGCAGATCCATACATTATGTAGCCTTTGTTGCAGGCGAAGCTTAGAGTGCTCACCTCCAGGTAATCAGTCCCATTCTTCCTCCCATTCCTTGGCGTGGGAAGCCAGCCACAAGAAACCACTAAGGAAGAATAACACACTAAACTATCATTTCATTGTGCTCTGCCAAGTACTAAAGAAAAGGTTAAAAAGGGTTACTTTCAGACGTATGACTATAAAATTTTTCCAAAACTAATATTTTCTCTTATTAGATTTTCTTATGGCATAATGTGATGTATAATCCTTTCTACGTAACAACACTGGTGTTCAGTGTTGTTCAGATACTCAGTTTTATTTCAAATGAAACAGTAAGAATAAACATGTAATCACAAACTACATATGAATAGGCTTCCTCTTATTTCCTGTGGTACCTGGTTTCAGGGCGTGCAGTAGGGCTTGGTGTTTCTGGTAGGCCTTGAGTGTGGCATTTCCCACTGTGAGGTCCCGAGTCGTCAGGGTATCATATTTACAAAACTGTGAACCTTCTCCATAACACATCGTCAACATGTCTGCCACCAAAGGGTCATCAAGGCTCTCGGGTAGAGTAAAAGCTGGAACAAAAGTGGGGTCATGGCTCGGTGGGATATTATACGTATCCAAAAGGTGCTCTGAATCATATGTGAAAAGGGAGGAATTCTTTGAAATGTTCCCTATGGGCAGAAACAATAAATAAGAAATATTTTCATTGGTTAAAAAACAAAAACCATACAAATATATTTGTGAAATTACTACACACTGTCATTTAGGTTAGGACTTAACAAAACGGCTTATAAATGGTGAAACTAAAGGTCTGTAACATATAGGGGACATATCTCTGAATAAAAAAACAACTATTTTTAAACCTTGGATGAAACTGATTATTTTCTAGAATGTGGTATGAAAAGTAAAGAATTAGAAGTACACAATATGTAAGCAAGTAAAAACCCCAGAGCAGAGTGAAATACATGCTGTTGTTTTGTTTTGAGAGTCTGTTTCAGTTAAAACACATGAAATCAGTTAAACGGTTAATTGTATGTCAGCTGTTCACTAGTTTTTAAGGATCTGTAACAATTGAAAAGCACCAATTTATGTGCTTTTACTTGCTCTCTCTAAAATCTGTTAAGGCTAACTTAAAACATGCACGTTCTCCTTCTGTGCACTCTCAAAACATTTATCATAAATTGAGCCAAATATGTAGTCCTTTTATTAAAATGCCGAAAAAAACATTTGATGTGAGGATTATTAGCAAATCTTTAAATTCCCCATGACCTTTTGCCTTTGTAAACATAGAAAAGAGCTCGCAAAAACAAAATGATTCATAAGCATATTTAGTGTTTTCGATGGATAACTGGTTGTCAGCGTTTGCTCAGTGTGATTGATTTTCTGCTGTTTCACAAACAACAGGCTCTCTCACTTACAGCTGGCTCCAAAGGTAAAGATTTCTTCCAACGTGGCATCAGCTGAGGAGATGACTTCTCCGAGTTGGGTGGTCAGATCATCTGATGGGTCAGAGTTCATTGAGCCAAAGAGACCCTGGGTGTGGTTGTAAAACTCTCCAGGAAGCAGCACGGTCACTGCCATGGTTCCTTCATACAGACGAACCTCCACGCCGACACCGGAGGAAAAGATTACAGTCACCTTCCCAGGACTGGGGCTGAACACATACACTCCTAGAAAACATAGATTCATCCATGAGTTTATAACAAACGGTTCCAGTTTAATAAATGTAACAATAAAACAAAAAACTGAGCAACTAAAATATGTATAAGTCACATTTTGCAATAGTACTGAACTATAGTGATGCCACTATAGTTAAAGCAACACAAGGCATGATTTAAATTTTAAAAAACTTGTGTTTTATCATCCTAAACAATAACTGTCTGCAGGCTTTGCATCACATAACAGGCAATCCTTAAAATGTAAGCAAGAAAGCATGAGAAAAGTATGAGAACAAAAAGCAGTGAATAAACTGTTGGA